TTTAATTTAGGGAAGGATACTTAATGAGCAGTGCACGTTTTCAGCGAACGTCAATGACGTAGCATGGATGAGCTCTACGGCGAAAGTGTCTGTGTTTTCGTGAAGGCTTGACGATCTTGTTTCTACAGGTCCACGTTTAGGTTCTTAGAATTTTGTTGCTGGAGCATAAATTTCTTCTGACATTTAGAGATGGTCTTTTTAGGAGATGGGGGTACTGGAGGAGGAATTGTAAAGAATTATGTTTTGTATAAACTAAGTGAAACTTATCTTCTTGGTTAATATTTTTAATAGTGTGAATGTTTATGAAGCATTCACTCTATTGTGATCCATTTTCTCGTTCCACAATTTTTGTGCTATTTCAAATCATAAATCAAAACGTTCAGCTCTTTCAGGACAATCCTGCTATGACTTTTGGTATAGGTGCAACTTTAGCTTTTTGAAATATTTAAACTTTTCTGCCATTTTTTCTCATAAAAATGAATTGAGCTCATTTTAAATCCTTCAACTCTTTAGATCTGTTTACAACCTTTTACTGCTCCTTTCACATTTTGTTCTGCTTCAGCTTCTTTGTGTAAAAAAATAAATAAAAATCTGCTACTTTCAGCTAATTTCAGCTGTTTATTCATCTATTTTGTGCTCCTTTCAGATTCTTTCTGCTTTCTACAACATTTTTGTGCTTATTCTAACTTATTTGAGCTAATTTCAGTGTATTTCGGCGTTTTGGTTTTATCTGCTATTTCAGCTACTATTTAGCTGTTTTTATGCTAATTTTAGTTATTTTTTTCAGCTAATTCCACATTTTTTGCACTAGTTTCGAGTTTTTTCAGCCTAATTCAGCACAAATGTGCTTTCTCCACTTCCTTCTCGTAACTTAAGCTTCTTTCTGATTTTTAGCTACTTTTCAGCTGTTTTTGCTTATTTCAGTCTTTTTTCATATATTTTTCACTTTTTTATGCTCATTTCCGCTTCTTTAAACCTTATTGTGCAAACTTGTTCTTTCTGCTTTATTCTGGTAATTTAAGCTTGTCTACCTTTTTAGCATTTTTTTTTTAGCTAATTTCAACTGTTTTCAAATAAATTAAAAGTTTTTCATGGTAATTTCTGCTACTTTCGGCTTTATTATCTTCTTTATGCTAATTTCAGCTCGTTATACTCCTTTCAGGTTTTTTTCTGCTAGTTTCAGTTTTTTCTGCTCTTTCAGCTACTATTCAGATGTTTTTATGCCTTTTATTAGCCTTTATGTTAATTCCACATTTTTAGCTCATTTCAGCTCTTTCCACTTCCTTCTGGTATTTAAAGCTTCTTTCTGCCTTTTCAGATACTTTCAGCTATTTTTTTTTTTTGCTACTTTCAGCTTTTTTTTAACTAATTTCCTAATTTTATGCTCATTTCTGCTTATTTAAACCTAATTCAGTAAATATGAGTTCTTTCTGCTTTCTTCTGCTAAATTAGTATTTTTCTTCCATTTCAGCTACATTTCAGAATGTAAATAGCTAATTTCAGCTGTGTTTTAGCAAGTTCTGCAATAAGCATTCACACTGCATTTTTGCAGGACATGCAGTTTCTCTAGTTATGCTTGATGCTAAAGTAGGAAATGGGCCAAAGAAGCATGTGGTAGAGAGCTGGTGGGGTTTGTAATCCTCTGAATGTTTAGGATTAATGTTGGCATGTAGTTCAAAAGGACACTGCGAGTGTGCAGGACTGTTTTTACTGTACGAAGAGGTCGCACTGTAAATTGACAGCAGCTCTATTTATACCTCACCGTCCTTCTTTACAGGATGTTTTGGTAGAGGAGGCGCGAGGCAGAGCAGCGTCAGCAGGACAAGTTAATGTCAGGCTGGATGAGGTCAGACTGAGCTGCAGAAACAGAGCGCTGGCCGTCTTTAAAAGCAAGGGACAATTACAGAAAAGGGTAACTTTGTTTGGTTCAAATGTTGGCATACTTTTGTTTGTTTGTTTTGTGAAATGAAATTCTCAAAAAGTAATAGTCTACAGTAGTCCCTCGCTACTTCGCGGTTCGACTTTCGCGGACTTGCTCTTTCACGGTTTTTCAAAGATTGAACACGAGAAAAAAATTTGTACAGGACCCACGATTGTCAACTTTAACATTACTCACGTAATAAAAAGTTATCAAAAAAATACTTGGGACAGGCGTCACCATTTTATAGTTTTCTCTCAATTAGCCTACACTGTATCCCCACTCAAAACAACTACATTTCCCAGAAGCCAACAGTGCCCCGTCCAAAAGCCCCGTTTCCTTCTGCTGAAATGGTGGGAGAGTTTTGATCTGATCCTCATTCAAAAAATGACTTTGGTGCCCAGCGGATGCAGAGAGCCGCATGGAACCGACCGGGAACCAAACCTCCAGACTCTTTGGTGAATCTGAGTGCCGCCCGCCGGCCCACAAGGTCTTCAGAGCAGGGAGGCGCTTCCCAGAGATCCAGCGTTCTCTCCGGCATTCTCTCGAGAGCCCACCAGAACTTCCATCCATCCAGATTTGGACTCCCATTTGATTGATCACTCCATCTTGATGTGGTCCTGTGATGGCCATCCGAAGATTCGGTTTCCTCCAAAAGCATTTTGGTGATCTAGGGGCTGCAGAGAGCCGCCCAGAACCAGCAGGCTACGTAGGCCTGTCACGCTAACAAATTTTGCTGGGCGATTTGTCTCAGAAATTATTGCGATAAACGGAAATATTGTTTGAAATTTGACAATAATTATTAATTATTGTCAAATTTAAGAAGAAATGTTGGTTAATTTTTGTGTGTAGTAACTTTTTTGACCACTGGATGGCAGTATAAGACTGTTTGAACTGAAGGATGGATAGTGAGGGTGCAAGTAGTTTGTCTCTTTAAGAAAAATGGGAGGGAGGCTCCTTGACGTGACATGGGCTGTCTCTCCTTCCTGTTTTTCGCTTCTCAAAATGGCGGACGCTCTGTGTGGTTCGAGCTCTTTAGCGTAGCGTTTTTCCACACAAAGCTTTTATTAAAAAAATCAGTAACAAGTTTTCAGCTTCTTTTGAAGAGAAAAAAAACTTTTTACACGAAGGCACGGGTTTCAACCGTGAATTTTGGAGCTTCGACAAGACGGAGGTTTTTTTCCCCCGAGGTCGGCCTGTTAGCTTAGCTCGTAGCTTAGCTTGTCAGCTTAGCTGCTTTGAACGATCCAAAAATGCGATGTTGGACGGTTAAAACAGATTTTAAAGAGAAAGGGAGGGGTCAGTGAAGAGCACCGGAGTTGAGCCTTTTGTCATCCAGTGTCTTCAGTAGAAAAAGAGAGACACGAAGAAACGATAAAGCCGTTAAATGAAAATGAGGTCGATAAGTTTAATTTATCATGCGATTAATTGAGTTATTGTTCATCACGACAGGCCTAAGGATACGTCTGCCGAAACCGAACTGAGTCAGAGCTGCTGTTCTGCAGAGCTGGGGAGTAAAATTTAGTAGCTACATATAAAGTACTGTATGTATGTTGTTAAAATGACGTAGGTTTATGAGTTTAGAACATTGCAAGAGTGTGGGAAGGGTTTCTAAAGCCTTCAAGTATATTGTTACGTCCACTGATTTCAAGGGGGTTCTCTTACTAGAGGACAACCTTTCTCCTCCTTTGCTTGTTTACAGGCCTGCTGTCTCACCATGCTGCACACCTGGGATCGCGTCCTCCTCATCAGTGGACACCATAAAAGCTTCAGTGATCCAGCGCCACGCCCCTTTTCTCCTTGGGCATTTCTACTTGGTTCTGAGCAGCGCAGTGTGGTTGGTTCTGAACTCTGTACAAAACATTTGAGCAACTCGGAGTTGATTTCTGTTAACTTCTGTGAACAGCTCTATTTAAGAAACCTTTTGTTTAGATGGGAAGTTTGATAGGGGTTCTCTGCCATTTTATTTTTAACTAACTTGTCTCCTGTTTTGTGGACAGCCAGGGAGCCTAGGAATTGTAGTTTTGTTAGATAAGAGGTGATTTTGTTTTCTAGCCAGAAGGGGCATTTTTTTGTTTGTTGTTTTGGCCTTGGAGACCCTGACGTTCATGGCTTCTCCTCTTCTCTGTAACGCCCAATAACTCTTACACAATTAAATTATTGTAATGCCAAGTTGGGTTGTTTTTGAGTTATTAGCTTTATGTTTAGTTTACAATTTTTCTCTTACACCTTGCACCTCCTAGACTTATTCCAAGGGTTGTAACAATATATAAACACTAACATAAATATAACGTTATTACTACCACTTTCTCTAGCCTCTGCGCCACCACTCCCCTAACTCCAACAGATCCAACAATATTCTGGAAGGTTTCATATTATTTACAGGGTTTGACCAAAACAAATGTCACCCTGTCCCTTTTCAGCATGAGATGACTCAAGTTTCAAACGGTGGTGTGACAACTGGTGGGCGACATGCTTCAAAGAGCACAAGGCGTTTTTATCTCATTATCTGATGAGCTTGAAATGCGTTTTTTTGTGCAGCATTCATATGTAAACGTGTTTTACGACCTTAAATTAGAACCTATAGCGTGATGGAGATCGGTATGCGACGATGTGCGCTTTCGTCAGTTCACGTTGTGGCTGAAGTGACACCGCTGCACCCTCGGTAGCCCCACAGTGGGACTATCGGCTCACGACCGTCAAGCCACGCGGCGAAGCAGAAGCGGCGAGCTCCAAAACAAACCCTCGACAGCTACGGCGGACACACGGTGTTTGTTGTGCATCCAACCCTGACCTGGCGCTGTCAGCACGTGACCTGAAATCCAAATCCCCTGTCACGCTCACGTTGGCTCTGAACCGTAAAGAAAGTGAAAGCTCTCTTGTTTGATGAGGCAATATAAAATTAAAAAGAACAAGTTTATGATTTCTCTTTTATAAAACTATAATTCAACATGACAGTGCAAAAGATGGATGATGTCATTCATTTAGTGGTCAGTGCCGCCCCCTGCTGTTCAACTGCAGTAACAACAACCTTTCTCTAAAGTGAAACATCTGCAGAACTTGAATAAAAGGACCCTCCAGTTTAATAATCACTGACCACTGAGTCTTGCGACAACCACTGCTGCCTATCCAGCTGCTCCAGCTGCCTCTTCAGGTGGAAAACCTCGTCCAACATTTGCCTGAGTAAGAAGGACACAGTTTTAAAGAGTTCAATATGTGAAAAAGTTAAAGCAAACCAAAGAAAGTGCATGCTTATTGCTGAAGAAATTGCTGAAAAACAGCTTAAATTAGCTAAAAACATGTTGTAATGTAGCCAAAAAGGAAAAACAAGCCCAAGTTAGCAGAAGAAAGCAGAAAGAATACATGTTTTTAATTAGATTTAAATAAGCAGAAATGAGCACAGAAATTATGAAATTAGCTAAAAAAAAAAACAATAAATAGCTGAAAAGTCAGAAAGAAGTCTAAAGTACCAGAAGGAAGTGGAAGGGGCTGAAATTAGATTTTTTTAAAATGTGGAATTAGCTGAAAAAGCTAAAATTAGCATAAAACCAGCTCAAAAGTAGCTGAAATATCAGAAAAAGCTGAAACTAGTAGAAGTAAGTGGAAAGGAGCATAAGGAGCTAAAATTAGCAGAAAAAAGTTAATTAGGCTGAAAGAAGCAGAAATAACCACTCAAAACTTGAATTTATCTGAAAACAGCTGAAATTAGCTAAAAAACGCTGAAAGCTAGCTGATAGGTTAGAACAAGTTTGAATTAGCAGAAGAAAGCAAAAATAACACCTTTGCCCAAGTAGGCTGAAAGAAGCAGAAATGAGCATAAAAGTGTGGAAATATCTGAAAACAGCTGAAAGTAGTTTTTTTTTTTAATTTGCACAAGGAAGCTGAAAGAAGCTGAAGCAGAAAAAAAATGTGAAAGGAGCAGTAAAAGGTTGTAAACACATCTAAATAGTTGAAAGATGGAAAATGAGCTCAGTTCATTTTATATGAGAAAAAAAATGGCAGAAAAGGCTAAATATTTTTTAAAAAAAGCTAAAGTTGTACCAAAACCAAAAGTCATAGCAGGATTGTCCTAAAACAGCTGAATGTTTTTATTATGATTTGTTGGAATAGCACAAAAACTGTGGAGCAAGAGCGATGCAGAAAAACGTACAGAAGAAAAATGGATCACAACAGTGTGATAAACATTCGCAGTTACCTGTGGGCAGCCTGAGCTCTGCTCACTTGGCAGTGGAGGCGTTTGACGATGGCTTCGTGGCGCCTGTTTTGGATCTAAAACGAGGAAATTACACCGTTTTATTACAAACTAAAAGAAAAACATTTATGCTTTGTAAAATAAAAAAAAGTCATATCCATTAGTGGTGTGTGATACTGCAAAATTTGGTATTGATTGATACCAAGTAAATACAGGTCCAATATATTGATACCGATACGATACTTTTAATAATTACAGTGAATTTTGATGATGTTTAAGTGTTTTGTGATTTTCCTTTTGGATCATTTATTAGTTAAAACCCAGGATAGAATTAGGCAAAGTTTATAAGTAAATAAAAAATACTTTACTGTAAAAAAAAGTTCGTTTTCTGAAAAAATAGAACAGTAACAAAACAATTTTCCCCATACCTTGTGATGGCTGGATTTTTTTCCCTTAAACAAAGTGCACAAAACGATCACTCAAGAACAAATTAAACCATTGTGCTCAGAAACTATGTTAATTAAATAAAAATGATCCCTTCACTGCACTCCTTTTCTGGATTTTTTTCTTAAATAAGCAAACTGTACATATCACACCGCAACAAACGTTACAAAACAGTCTAATATATTTAGGATATAAAGGAATAAAACAAAATTTCTCCTCTTAGGGGAATTTCTTTTCTGGGTTTGAAAAAATAATTACAAATCAAAAATAATTAGTGAATCAAGTGTAAATAGCAAAACAACCTCCAAAGCCTTGAGCTCAAAGAAATATTCCCAGAAGCCTCTCTGAGGGCCCTGCCTGCCTTTGCAGCGTCGCTCTGTGCAGCGAAGGGAGCGGCACTCACACACAGTCTGCTCGCATCCGCAGCCGTGCATACAGGAGAGAAACTGAAGCTAAAGTATCAATCTCCTTTCACTGGTATTGATCAACATCAATAACCATGTTGGTGTCGATATTTGAATCGATGCGCCCACCCCTAACAGCTGCACCTTTATATCTTTCTTTAACTGGACGTGAGTCTCAAACTCTTCCCTCAGCTCCTCTCTCCTCTCAGCTAAAGTCTTTCTCCTCTCAGAGATCTCCTTCTTTAGAGCGTTGACCTCACTCTGCAAAGACAAACGTGCGCACAAGTCAAATGGAGAATGCAAGAGGATAGACATCCGTTTATTTTCTCAAATAACTGTGAATGTTTATGAAGCTTTAACTCTATTGAGATCCATTTTTCTTCATTGTGTTTTTCAGCATCTTTCTCGTTCCACAATTTTTGTACTATTTCGACAAATCATAAATCAAAACGTTCAGCTCTTTCAGGACAATCCTGCTATAACTTTTGGTATTGGTGCAACTTTAGCTTTTTGAAATATTTAGCCTTTTTTGCCATTTTTTTCTCATAGAAAATGAATTGAGCTCATTTTTCCCGCCTTCAAATCTTTAGATCGGTTTACAACCTTTTACTGCTCCTTTCACAGCTTCTTTCAGCTTCCTTCTGCAAACTGAAACTTTTTTCAGCCACTTTCAGCTAATTTTAGCTTTTTTCAGCTGTTTTGTGCTTCTTTCTGATTCTTTCAGATAACTACATTTTTGTGCTTCTTGTAAATTCTTTCTGCTAATTTAAGCTTGTTATGCTCCTTTCAGCTTATTTCTGCAAGTTTAAGCTATTTTTGATATTTCAGCTAGTATTTAGCTGTTTTATGCTTATTTTAGCTTTTCTGTGAATTCCACATGTTGTGCTCTCATTTCAACTTTTTTCAGCCTAATTCAGCAAAAATTAGCTCTCTCCACTTCCTTCTGTTAATTTAAGCTTCTTTCTGCTTTTTGAGCTACTTTTAAGCTGTTTTTGTGATTTTTTTTTTTCAGATAACTCACTTTCTTGTGCTCATTTCTGCTTCTTTCAGCCTAAATGGACAAACATTTTCTTTATTCTGCTAATTTCAGCTTGTTCTTTCCTTTTCAGTTAGATTTCAGCTGTTTTAGCTAATTTCAACTGTTTTCAGATAAATTCAACTTTTTAGTTGTAATTTCTGCTACTTTCAGTCTAATTAGCTGCTTTCTGCTAATTTCAGCTTGTTATTCTCCTTTCAGCTTATTTTTGCTCATTTCAGCTTTTTCTGTTATTTCAGCTACTATTTAGCTGTTTTTGTACTAAATTTAGCCTTTTCAGCTAATTCTACATTTTTAGAACTTATTTCAGCTCCTTCCACTTTCTTCTGGTAATTTAAGCTCCTTTCTTCCTTTTCAGCAACTTTTCAGCTTTTTCTTGTTGCTAATTTCAGCTTTTTAAGCTAATTTCCTAATTTTGTGCTCATTTCTGCTTATTTAAACTTAATTCAGCAAATGTGTTATTTCTATTTCTTCTTCAAACTTAGACTTGTTCTTCCATTTCAGCTACATTTCAGCATGTTTTTAGCTAATTTCAGCTGCTTTTCAGCAAGTTCTTCACCAATAAGCATTCACACAGCATTTTTGCAGGAAATGCAATTCCTCTAGTTACCTTTGCTATCTGCACTGTGTTTCCATTTGGATTCTGCAAATCCTCCTTCAGCTGCTCTTTCATCTGCTTCAGCTTCTGGACCAGCACTTTCTTCTCCTCCAGCTCCTTGTAGACCTCCGTCTGGCTCACGGAGTGCAGAACAGCCGCTCTGTGACCCTTCATCTTGGCTCGGTAAGTGTCGAACGTTGCTAATACCAGGCGAGCCTTCTCCTTCTCCTCACTTATGACAATGTGGAGTTCTGTGTTTTCCTTGCGGACGGTTGCACAGCGATCATGCAGGTCTTTGATTTGCCTCTCCAGATGCTCCATCTCACCCTCCACCATCAGGACGTCCCGCTCTTTGGATCGTAGCTCCTGTTCTGCAGCCTCTCCTTTCTTTTCAACATCTGAAAGTGTTGCCTTGAAAAGAAAACAGCTGGTCAAACCGTATCCATCCAACGATCTTACTCACAACCAATCCGTTTATAGTCCAATGATATAAAATGTAGTTGTGTTGTAAAAATAATAATAATGACTGAACGTGTGTTTCTAAAACTGTCTGTTTAAAGATGGATGCACCTGCAGGGAAGAAAGCATCTTCCGTTTTTCTTTTAGGTCCTCATTCTGGGCGAAGCCATGCTGACTGACGTCTTCCACCACCTTGGTTAATAAAAAGTCCTGGGTTTCCTGAAATGCTGATTAAAAAAAATAAGAAACAAGAGAATTTACAAAGCTGACTTTTACTGTTGGTAGACACAACTTATAAAGAAATCATGTAGGGCTTTGATAGTTTGCCATAGTTTCTCTGTCTGGGCACTCAAGAGGGTCTACAGAGGTGATTTTAGCCTTTTTTGGGGGGGTGCTCAAGCATCCCTAAATTTTAACTCAGCACCTCTGAAAAATAAAGAGACCATCATTATGATGTTGTAAAGAAACTCACTTCACAAAGTTTAGATTCACCAAAATATTGAATAAATATGGAATAAATTATGGGCCAGTAAAATCTATGATTTTTTTTTTTTGCAAGTCTGATCCAAGATGCCGTCTGTCAATCAGTCCAGTAGGCTCGTCAGCAACTGACCAATCAGCGACCTCAATTTGTCCCAAAGGTAAATGCCCCTTACCTGCCCCTCTATTCACACAAGGGGAGCTGTTGGTCAAGCTACTTCTTGTTGCTCTCTAAAATAGTTATTGAGTCCAGTGTTTACTTATGAAGGTAAACGTAGATGTCTAAGAATACAGGAAATAGGCCTGTCACGATAACAAATTTTGCTGGGCAATTAATTGTCTCAGAAATTATTGCGATAAACAATAAAATTGATTGAAATTTGACAATAATCAGTAATTACTGTCAAATTTAGGAAGACATTTGAAATTTGTTTTGCATATAGTACCTTTTTTGACCACCGGATGGCAGTATAAAACAGTCTAAACTGAAGGATGGATAGTGAGAGAGCGAGCAGCGTGTCTCTTTAAGATAATTGGGAGGGAGGCCCCTTGACGTGACATGGGCTGTCTCTTTTTGGTTCTCAAAATGGCGGACGCTCGGTGTGGATTGAGCTCTTTAGCATAGCATTTTTCACACAAAGCTTTTAATTTAAAAAAAATCAGTAAACAAGTTCTCAGCTTCTTTTTGCAGAGAAAAACTTTTTTCAAGAAGGCACGGGTTTCAACCGTGAATTTTGGAGCTTTGACAAGACGGAAGTTTTTTCCCCCGAGGTCGGCCTGTTAGCTTAGCTCGTAGCTTAGCTTCTCAGCTTAGCTGCTTTTAACGATCCAAAAACATGAGTTTGGACGGTTAACATGGCAAAGAAACAAGAAAGGGAGGGGTCAGTGAAGAGCACCGCAGTTGAGCTTTTTGTCATCCAGTGTCTTCAGTAGAATGAGAGACACGAACAAACGATAAAGCCGATAAATGAAAATGAGGTCAATAATTTTCATTTACCATGCAATTAATGAATTTTTGTGTATCACGACAGGCCTAAAAGGAAATGGCATCTACTTTATGCAAAATCTTTTATGGGGGAGGACCCCCAGACACCCCCCCCACACACACACACACACACACACACAAAACATTGCAAATGCTTCTGACGCCAATGGCCACTGCGTTGTTCGAGAGCCATTGTCAGCACTGGGGGCTAAGCGCCCCTAAAGGGCAGATTCTAGAATCGCCCCTGGTCTACATATCAGGTTAGAGTTCATAACTGTCTTTTTTTTTTTCTTTAAAGAAACCTGCTATTTATTTCCTTAACTTGGTTATTTAGTTTCTAAGTTGTTGGGCCACTTAAGAAAAAAAAAAAGGAGTTTTTTTTCTAAATATCGTAATTTAAATGTAAATGACAGAAAAAAATATATACAAAGTTGAAAGAAAGCCTTAAACTCGACTGTATTTAGAGGTCACCCAATATGTTTTCTTTTTCTCTGCTCAATGACAATCAATCAAAATCAAGGCAAGGCTGATTACAATTTTTAATTTTTAAATAGTGGCAATTGCCACTTAAATTGTCCGACTTATTAATTGGTCTACCTCTAAATGTATTTGTTTATTTTGCTATAATTACTGTATCTGGTGGCTGTTATGGAGGATGGAATGTGACACAATTAAATCAATAAATACATAATAACTTTGTCACGTTTCACCCTCCATATATGTGACCCTAAAAACTCATTACATTACTTTAGCTGAAGCACTCCAAGGTGAAATTAATAACCCACCCTGCAAATTTTCACCATCATCATAACAACTAACCCAAATACTTAAATTGTTATTATGAATTTTCTGAAATGTTCATAATGTTAAACTAAGAAAATGACCAATAACAAAAAATAAATGTTAGAGATTGGCAATTAAAATATATATTAAATACAGTTCCGATAGTGCCACGGTTTTATTCTTAAATGTATTTTTAATAGACTAGTAAGCTAGTAGCTTCTCATAGCTAACTAGCTAATAAGGTTAGCATTAGCAAAAAAATAAATAAATAAACAAGGTTAGCATTAGCATTTTATACTTTTATTTTCAACACACACACACAAATACTTATTTGTTTTTATCTTACCTTTTGGGGATTCTGTAGTTTTTGACATAATGTTGGCAATGCTAGCTAACTTTTAGTTATATACGTAGGTGTGCTAGCACCGTTGACTTCTAGCTTAGCCACTGTATGAAACTAATTGCAGGGCAACATATTCATATTTCTTTAATTAGAAGGAGTCAAACTACATTACCCAGAGAGCCGTCCTTTCTTACGTTAAACTACATCCGGTTTATGCTAGCCAAAGTAGCAAACACATACATAAATACGTAAATATGTATATAGCTAATAATATTAGTTTAACTTTTTCAGCAATATTTTAGTAACTTTACTCATTAAAAAAAATTCCTCTAATGTTTGTCAGTCGCCGATAGCGCTTAGTCAAACTACAATTCCCAGAGTTCCATTCTGTAAGTTGAAACTGTATCCGGCTCACGCTAGCCGTAGCAGGGTTATTTCACTCTTGAGTGATACTTGTGAGCATTACTCGCTTAAATTTAATGAAATGTTCGCCATTCGCAGTTTTCGACTGTGTCCTTTTTGTATCCGCGTAGTTTCCCGCAGTGGAGGAGGAAATGGAGGATGGAGGGCTCTCATGAGTCACACCACCAGCCTGAAGTATGCTAACATGACCAAGGAACTGCAGCAGAATTGGGGTATAGTGGTACCAAAACGCCACTGTCAAAGGGATTTGGAGGATTTATACAACAATAATTCCGTCCAGAGGTACCTTCAGCAGCTCATGGAGGAGTTTAAACAAGTCAGTGAGAAGTTACAGCATGTCTTTCTCAGTGAATCAGACAGAAAAACACTGGTGAGGAAACATGCAGAGCTCCTGCCTTTGTCAAATGTCTGTGAGACGATTGAACAAGCCAGGAAAGACCTGGAAGAAGTTGTTTCATTACTGCAGAGTGAGTATAAGTTTTGACTGTCTGAATGTGTTTATTATGCTACCAGCTTAACAACTAGAGAAATTGCATTTCCTGCGAAAATGCAGTTAATGCTGAAAGACTTGCTGAGAAACAGCTGAAATGAGCTAAAAACATGCTGAAATTTAGCCGAAATGGAAGAACTAGCCTAAATTAGCAGAAGAAAGCAGAAATATTTGCTGAAACTGCTTTAAATATTCAGAAATTAGCAGAAATTTAAGAAAAAAAGCTGAAATTAGCCAAAAACGAATGGCTAAAAACTATCTGAAAGGCAGAAAAAAGCTTTAACTACTCATTGAAGGAAGCGGAATGAGCTCCATCCATCCATCCATTTTCTTCCGCTTATCCGGGGTCGGGTCGCGGGGGTAGCAGCCTAAGTAGGGAGGCCCAGACTTCCCTCTCCCCAGCCACTTGGGCCAGCTCTTCCGGGGGAATCCCGAGGCGTTCCCAGGCCAGCTGAGAAACATAGTCCCTCCAGCGTGTCCTGGGTCTTCCTCTGGGCCTCCTTCCGGTGGGACGTGTCCGGAACACCTCACCAGGGAGGCGTCCAAAAGGCATCCTAAACAGATGCCCAAGCCACCTCAACTGGCTCCTCTCGACGTGGAGAAGCAGCGGCTCTACTCCGAGTCCGTCCCGGATGATCGAGCTTCTCACCCTGTCTCTAAGGGAGAGCCCAGACACCCTGCGGAGAAAACTCATTTCGGCCGCTTGTATCCGAGATCTCATTCTTTCGGTCACAACCCAAAGCTCGTGACCATAGATGAGAGTGGGAACGTAGATCGATCGGTAAATTGAGAGCTTCGCCTTTTGACTCAGCTCTCTCTTCACCACGACAGACCTGTACAGAGCCTGCTTCACTGCAGACGCTGCACCTATCCGCCTATCGATCTCACGCTCCATTTTTCCCTCATTCGTGAACAAGACCCCAAGATACTTGAACTCCTCCACTTGGGGTAGGACCTCCTCCCTGACCCGGAGAGGGCACTCTACCCTTTTCCGGCTCAAGACCATGGCCTCGGATTTGGAGGAACTGATCTTCATCCCGGCCGCATCGCATTCGGCTGCGAACCGCTCCAGTGAAAGCTGTAGATCACGATCTGATGAAGCCAATAAGACCACATCATCTGCAAAAAGCAGAGACACAATCCTAAGGCCACCAAAACGGATCCCCTCAACACCTTGGCTGCATCTAGAAATTCTGTCCACAAAAGTTATGAACAGAATCTGTGACAAAGGGCAGCCTTGGCGGAGTCCAACTCTCACCGGGAACAAGCCCGACTTACTGCCGGCGATGCGGACCAGGCTCTGACACCGGTCATACAGGGACCTAACAGCCCGTATCAAAGGGCCCGGTACCCCATACTCCCAGAGTACCCCCCACAGGGCCCCCAGAGGGACGCGGTCGAACGCCTTCTCCAAGTCCACAAAGCACATGTAGACTGGTTGGGCAAACTCCCACGCACCCTCCAGGACCCTGCTGAGAGTGTAGAGCTGGTCCAGTGTTCCACGGCCAGGACGAAAACCGCACTGTTCCTCCTGAATCCGAGGTTCGACTATCCGACGGACCCTCCTCTCCAGAACCCCCAAATAGACCTTACCAGGGAGGCTTAAGAGCGTGATTCCCCTGTAGTTGGAACACACTCTTCGGTCCCCCTTTTTGATTAGGGGGACCACCACCCCGGTCTGCCAATCCAGGGGAACTTCCCCCGATGTCCACGCAATATTGCAGAGTCGCGTAAGCCAACACAACCCTACAACATCCAGAGCCTTAAGGAACTCCGGGCGAATCTCATCCACCCCTGGGGCCCTGCCACCGAGGAGCTTTTTAACCACCTCGGTGACCTCAGCACCAGAGATTGGAGGGCCCGACCCAGAGTCCTCAGGCTCCGCTTCCTCAGTGGAAGACGTGCCGGTGGGATTGAGGAGGTCTTCAAAGTATTCCGCCCACCGACCCACAACATCCCGAGTTGAGGTCAGCAGCACACCACTCCCACTATAAACAGTGTTGGTGGTGTACCGCTTTCCCCCCCTGAGACGCCGGATGGTGGACCAGAATCGTCTCGAAGCCGTGCAGAAGTCGTTCTCCATGGCCTCTCCGAACTCCTCCCATGCCCGAGTTTTTGCCTCAGCAACCACCCGAGCCGCATGTCGCTTGGACTGCCGGTACCCATCAGCTGCTTCCGGGGTCCCACAGGCCAAAAAGGCCCGATAGGACTCCTTCTTCAGCCTGACAGCATCCCTCACCGACGGTGTCCACCATCGGGTTTGAGGGTTGCCGCCGCGACTGGCACCGACAACCTTGCGGCCGCAGCTCTGGTAAGCCGCCTCGACAATAGAGGCACGAAACATGGTCCACTCAGACTCAATGTCCCCCACCTCCCTCGGAACATGTTCAAAGTTCTCCCGGAGGTGGGAGTTGAAACTCTGTCTCACAGGAGACTCTGCCAGACGTTCCCAGCAAACCCTCACAATACGTTTGGGTCTGCCAGGTCTGACCGGCATCCTCCCCCACCATCGGAGCCAACTCACCACCAGGTAGTGATCCGTTGACAGCTCCGCCCCTCTCTTCACCCGAGTGTCCAAGACATGTGGCCGCAGATCAGATGAGACGATGACAAAGTCGATCATCGAACTGCGGCCTAGGGCGTCCTGGTGCCAAGAGCACATATGGACACCCTAATGCTTGAACAAGGTGTTCGCTATTGACAATCCATGACGAGCACAGAAGTCCAACAACAGAACACCACTCTGGTTCAGATCAGGGGGGCCGTTCCTCCCAACCACACCCCTCCAGGTCTCACTGTCATTGCCCACATGAGCGTTGGAAGTCCCCCAGCAGAACAAGGGAGTCCCCAGAAGGTGCACTTTCCAGTACCCCTTCCAAGGACTCCAGAAAGGGTGGATAATCTGAACTGCCGTTTGGTGCATAAGCACAAACGACAGTCAGAACCCGTCCCCCCACACGTAGGCGGAGGGAGGCCACCCTCTCATGAGCTCCAAAAATGTGAAATTAGCTGAAAAAGCTAAAATTGGCATAACAACAGCTAAATAGTAACTGAAATAGCTGAAAGTAGCATAACTATGCTGAAACAAGCTGAAATTAGCAGAAAGAAGTTAATTTGTCTGAAACAGAAGTTATGAAAAACTTGACTTTATCTGAAAACAGCCGAAATTAGTAGAAAATGCTGAAAAGGTAGAACAAGCTTAAATTAGCAGAAGAAAGCAGAAAGAACAAATGTTTGCAGAATTATGCTGAAAGAAGCACAAAAAGTGGAAATTATCAGAAAAAGCTTAAATTAGCAAAAAAAACCTGCTGAAAAGTAGCTAAAAAGGCAGAAATAGGTTTAAATTACCAGAAGGAAGTGGAGAGAGCACATTTCGCTGAATTGGGCAGAAAAAAGTTGGAAATATTGCAAAAAATAAGCTAAAATTAGCATAAAGCAGCTGTAGCTGAAGTAAGTGAAACTTGCAGAAATGAGCTGAAAGGAGCATAAGAAGCTGAAATTAGCCGAAAAAAGTTAGAAGAAGCGCAAAAAGTTTGTAGTTAGCAGAAAGAATCTGAAAGGAGCACAACACAGATGTAAAAACAGCTGAAATTAGCTGAAAAGATTTTTTAATTTGCACAAGGAATCTGAAAGGAGCTGAACCAGAACAAAATGTGAAAGGAGCAGTAAAAGTTTGTAAACAGATCTAAAGATTTGAAGGAGGTAAAATGAGTTCAATTCATTTTTTATGGGGAAAAAAGTAGCAGAAAAGGCTAAATATTTCAAAAAGCTAAAGTTGAACCAAAACAAAATCATAGCACCCTTCTCCTGAATAAGCCGAACGTTTTGATATATGATTTGTTGTATTAGCATAAAAATTGTGGAAGAATAAAGATGCTGGAAAAACATAATGAAGAAAAATGTATCTCAATAGTGTGATAGCTTTATAAACAGTCACACAATAATACTATAACAATAAAGTGGCTATTATTGGCATATAAATACCTTGGAAAAGTCAGGGTGTTTTCATGCAAACAGTATCTGTATTAGTCCTAGATTTAAATGTGCACATCATGTTCTGCAGGTTCAGCTGGCTCCAAAGATGAAGACAAACATCTGACCCAGCTGCTCAAAGAGGAAGAAGCACAAATATCCAACAAAATTCAGGCCTTAAACAAAGCTGTGAGTTTTTTTCATCATATTTGTAGAGATTTGTCATTGATGGTGCTGGGCTCATATTTTCTTTCTGTGCAGCTGATCAAAGCTCTGGTCCCTGCTGACTCGCTTGACTCGAGTGACGTCATGTTGGAGGTTGTATCAGGACGGACAACTGGAGGTAAGAAAATAAAATGCTTTTGTTTTTTTTTTTCATCACCAGTTTGCAGTTAATTATTGTCATTGTGCTGTTCAATTTTTCCCGGAAAGTCATTTTTGTCCCATGTGGGGTGTATAACTCTGATATATATTAAGTACCAGTAATCCCTGTAATCCCAGTATCATATTCAAGTCTCTGTAGTAGAATATTGTGATACAGTTGATCATAATCTATTACAAAGACTTCAATATGATATTGGAATTACAGGAACAGCTCAAATGGTTTAAATCATATCTATCTGATAGATTCCAATTTGTAAATGTAAATAAAGAATCTTCATCATACACTGAAGTTAGCCATGGAGTTCCTCAGGGTTCAGTGCTTGGACCAATACTCTTTACCTTATATATGCTTCCATTAGGTAAAGTTATTAAACAGCATGCGATAAATTTTCATTGTTATGCTGATGGAGGTGGGAGTGCATCAAGGATGGACTCTGAGCCCCTTCTTGTTTGCTTTGGTGATGGGCCGACTAACATATGAGGTCAGGCAGGAATCCTTGTGGATGATGTTTGCAGATGACATTGTGATCTGTGGTGGGAACAGGTGGAAGAGAATTTAAAGAGGTGGAGGTATGCACTTGAAGGAAGAGGAATGAAAGTCAGCCGTAGTAAGACGGAGTACATGTGTGTGGAACAGTGAGGCTTCAAGGAGCAGAGGTCACAAAGGTGCAGGACTTCAAGTACTTGGGTCCACTGTCCAGGAAAATGGGGAGTGTCGTAAAGAGGTGAAGAAGAGAGTCTGGGCAGGATGGAGTGGATGAAGAAAAGTTTCAGGAGTAATTTGTGACAACAGGGTGTCAGCAAAGGTCAAAGGAAAAGTTTACAAGACAGTGGTAAGACCAGCTATGTTGTATGGTCTGGAGACAGTGGCATTGACAAAAAGACAGGAGAAAGAACTGGAAGTGGCAGAAATGAAGATGTTGAGGTTCTTCTTAGGAGTGACAAGGATGGATAAGATTAGGAATGAGATCATCAGAGGTACAGCACAGGTTGAACAAAAGTTAGAGAGACCAGACTGAGATGGTTTGGACATGTCCAGAGGAGGGACAGTATTGGTAGAAGGATGTTAGAAATGCAGCTGCCAGGAAAAAGACAATGAGGAGATATATGGATGCGGTTAGAGAGGACATGGAGGTAGTTGGAGTGAGGACAGAGGATGCAGAGGACAGAGTGAGATGGAGGAGGATTACTCGATGTGGAGACCCCTGAAAAGGGAAAAGCCAAAAGAAGAAGATGCTGATGACACACAATTATATTTGTCCATTAAACCCAATGAATCAAATCAGCTACTTAGACTACAAGCATGTCTTAACAACATAAAAACCTGGATGACACTTAATTGTCTGCCTTTGAACACAGACAAGACTGAGGTTTTAGGTTTTGGACTGAGCATCTATGGAATGAATTTTTCAGTCTTTCTCCCTCCTTGGATGGCATTAATCTGTCCTCCAGCTCTAATGTTAAAAATCTTGGTGTTATTTTTGATCAGGACATGTCTTTTATCCCCCACATTAAAAACATTAGAAACACCTTCCTCCTCCTGCGTAATATCACTAAAATGAGAAACATCTTATTCAGATTCAGATATTCTTTATTGTCAACAACAAAGTCCATGCTCATTACTCCAGGTATACAATCCAACATTTTTCAGTCAGGTCATCTGACTTTCTTTATTGTCGTTCCACCCCAAGTGGTGGAACGAAATTACGTACACAGGGTCCCAGTTTCATCCAACAATAAAATGTAAAAGAAAAACAGTAATAAGATCTAAGATGTGAACTAAGAAAAACATCAGATCATAAAAACGTTGAACACAATACGATGAACAGCAGCATCTTATCTATAAACGATGCAGAAAAACTGGTTCATGCATTTATCACATCTAGACTGGACTATTGCAATGGTTTATTATCTGGGTGTCCAAATACGTCTTTAAAACGTCTTCAGTTGATCCAAAATGCTGCTGCCAGAGTCTGAACTGGAGTTAGTGGGAGAGATCATATCTCTCCAGTTTTAGCTTCTCTCCATTGGCTCCCTGTCAAATCCAGAATAGAATTCAAAATCTTACTTCTAACCTACAAAGCCCTCAACAACCTAGCTCCATCTTAAAATACATATCTTATTGTTCCATCCTAACAGAGCACTTTGCTCTCAGACTGCAGGCTTACTTGTGGTTCCTAGAGTTTCCAAAAGCAGAACGGGAGGAAGATCTTTCAGTTATCAGGCTCCTCTCTTGTGGAACCAAGTTCCAGTTTCTGTCCATGAGGCTGACACATTGTCCAGTTTTAAGACTTTCCTTTTTGATAAATCCTATAGCTATGGTTGGCTTGTTATGCTGCTATAGACTTAGACTCCTGGAGGGCAAATTGACCTAATTTTCTTCAAATGAATCATTTTCATTTGATATTATTCCTATCTTAACATGTGATTTTCGACCTGCCATTGTGTATCTGTTCCTCTCAAACCCAGCTGGTCGAAGCAGATGACCGCTTGTCCCGAGTCTGGTTCTGCTAAAGGTTTCTTCCTCATGAGGGAGTTTTTCCTTCCCACTGTCGCCTTCATGCTTAAGATGAGAGTCTGTTATGGAGTTAAATTCAAAGCAGTCTGCTCTAATGTTAAGTTATTATTTTATATATATGAATGTTTCTGTTCAGTGCCCTGAGATGACTTCTGTTGTGACTCGGCGCTATAGAAATAAATTGAACTGGATTGGATTGTGGAGGAAGAAACATTTCCCAGAGAACCGATTCACCACAAACGCCAAGATGTAAGGCCTTTCATCTTAATAATAAATAATTAATTAAAATGGCAGCCGCTTAAAAAACACAACTTTAGCAGAAATCCAAATTGAATCAAATGTCGGATCATAACTTGTTGCATTATAGGTCCACTAAAAATAAATAAAACACACATTTGTGGGAAAATGCTGCAGCATGTCACTTATTCAAGACATTTAAAATGGTCCACGTTTGATTCTCAAGGGATAAATAATTTAACAAACAATATATTGAAAAAGTTCTTTTTTTAATTGTTTCTAATTGATGTTGCAATGCTTCATTTTAGGAGACATCTGCCAGCAGTTCACCAAAGAAATGTTTGACATGTACCAAGGCTTTGCCGGCTACAAAAACTGGAACTTTGAGGTTCTGAACTACACTCCTGCAGAGTACGGTACGATCCGAAAGAGCCTCGTATTATCAGAGCCCTCACCGGCGTGAGAGTGACTCGTGCACTGGTGCTCTCCCTGTCAGGTGGACTGCACCACGCAGCAGTCAGGATAGCCGGGGAGAAGGTGTACGGACACCTGAAGCATGAAGGAGGAACGCATCGGGTGCAGAGGATCCCAGAGGTGGGCCTCTCCTCCAGGCGGCAGTGCATCCACACAGGAACCATGACCGTCATCATCCTGCCGCAGCCGATGGAGGTGCTCCGGTCTCTGCGTCGCTTTCTCTACTTTTGTTTTTGTTTATTGGGGACTGCCACATTATTATCCACCTGAAAAGGGTCTCGCTCTTCTATAACCGCCACAGTGAGGTCACGTGACCTAGAGTGAAGAGGTGTCTGACCAAAACACTAATTAACTTTTGGAGCCATTTTGGTTCAAGATGGCTGCCACAGCTACGTCGGACTACTCAAAACTGGCTATAACTCAGTCATTCTTTGAGATATTGAGCTGAAATTTGGTGTTTGCGAGTTGTTATACATTCAAGGTCAAGGTTCTTTATTGTCATTCGCATCATATGTGGTGGAACGAAATTGTGCACACAGGGTCCCAGTTGCATCCAATAAAAGTATAAAATGTAAAAGAAAAACAGTAATAAGAGCTAAGATATGAACGAAGAAATAAGCTAAACTAAGAATACGCTCAGCACTAGTAGGACAAAAATAATACGCCGAACAACAGCAGCACGAACATGAGTCTGTGTGAGCAGATGAGTTTGATTGAACACAGCAGCGTGGAATAAATCAGCAGCATGGATAGTCAGCAGCACAAATTAGCAATCAAAGTGGCATTACAGTGATTTTTTTTTTTTTCACAGTGATTATTCTGGTTAGAGATTAATGAGTCTAACAGCCTCAGGGTAGAAGCTGTTCCTCAGTCTACTGGTTCTACACTTAATGCTCCTCAACCTCCTTCCTGAGGGGAGTGGGGCAGAAAGTGTGTGCTGGGTGAGTGGGGTCTTTCATGATGCAGGTGGCCCTCTTCTTGCATCTGGAGGTGTAGATGTCTGTGATGGTGTGGAGGCTGACCTAATGCGTTGAAATAAAAAAATCCAAGATGGCCGCCTTAGGTAAAAGCGATAAAATACGATAAATGGGCTATTTTAAAAGATACTGCGCTGAAATTTGGTGTGGTGGTACATGACAGCGATACACAACACATTCTGAATTCAAATAAAAAATTCAAGATACGGGGAGTTGTGGCTCAGAGGTTAGAGAAGATGGGCCTGTGATCGAAAAGTTGCAGGTTCAACTCCCCAGACTGACAAATGTGGGTGGAAAAGGTGAAGCACCCACACCTGCCTCCGCCCTCATTTTTCCCACTCTGGACCCTTGAGCAAGGCCCTTAACCCCCCCACCATCTGCTGCCAAAACAAGTCTCTCTTGAAAATGAGTTCTCGTGACTCAATGAGACTACCTGGATAAATAAAGGGTAAATGAAAAAATAAATTAAAAGATGGCCGCCTAAGCTAAAAATAAAAATCAGCGTCAAAGTTCATGCTCAATAATTCAGGTAAAAATCCCAACAAAGTTCAGTCAGTTCATCTGGATGTTTTATTTTTTTTTGGTTTAGACGTTTCGTCCTTCATCCAAAGGACTTCATCAGTCTGAGGAGCCACAAACAAACTCAGTCCCACAAGCAGCACACTCGCATAGTGGACTGACAGTCTGCTTTTGATAAGATGGTTTCTGGGGCCCCCGCCCTCCCCCCTGTCGACTCTTCTCAGGCAGCCATAGTTAAAGTGGTTCAAAACATCAAAGTTCATGCTCAATGATGATCTGACTGAACTTAGTTGGATTTTCTTCCTGGATTATTGCGCATGAACTTTGATGTTTTGAACCACTTTTGCTGTAGCTGCCTCAGAGGAGTCTACGGGGGAGAGGGTGGGCCCCGGAAACCATCTTATCACCAGCAAACTGGTTGGTCCACTATGTGAATGTGCTGCTTGTGGGACTGACTTTGTGTGTGGCTCTTTGGATTGATGAAGGACAAAACGTCTCAGCAAAACAAAACCATCCAGATGACCTGACTGAACCTTGTTGGACTATAAATCAACCTTTTTTTTTTATGAGATATTGAAATGATATTGCTGAAGTTTGGCACGGTAGCTGAGAACATTCCCCATCACATACTGAATCCAAATCAAAAATCCAAGATGGCCACCATAGCTTAAAAGAAAACATGACTATAGCTCATTGATTATAGCTCATTGATTATTTTTTGTCTCGTTGAGCTGACATTTGGTATAGTGGTAGCTGAGAGCGAACCCAATACATCAACTCAATTCTTTTTTTAAATGGCCGCAATGTGGCAGTCCCCATCAAAGTTTCTCCAGGAAGTTTCTAGTTAATAAACAAACCTGTTTTTGTTCAATAGCTGGACGTCCACATCGACCCAAAAGATCTGCATATCGACACGTTCAGGTCTCGGGGCGCTGGCGGCCAGAGTGTCAACACGACGGACAGCGCAGTGCGAATAGTTCACCTTCCCACAGGTAGAAGGGGTCGGAAGCTTCTCCAGACTTCCACGCTGTATTTCGTTCATTCCTTCTGTTTTTTTTATTGTTATTATTATTCATCCTCAACAGGAATCACGGCTGAGTGCCAGCAGAGTCGCTCGCAGCTCCAAAACAGAGACACCGCCATGCAAGTGCTCCAGACAAGACTCTACCAGAGCATGCTGGGTAAAGAGACTGAGCAGAGGCACACAGCGCGAAAGCAGCAGGTGAGGGGTGGACCCTGTGTGTGTTGGGGGGTAGATACTTTTTAAACCAGAGGCTTACGCTCAGGTTTCTGAACACAGGTGGGCACACGGCATCAGTCAGAGAGGATCCGGACCTACAACTTCAGCCAGGATCGTGTCTCCGATCACCGCACTGGATACAGCACAAGAGACATTAAGGTGAGATACGTAGGAAGGAGGGTTACACTAAAACTAAACAAGATGGACAAATTTGGTACAAAAGCTGGAAATTTCCCATTTTGTCTCATCAGCTTCATCTGATTCCTAAATATACAGTAGTCCCTCCTTTACCGTGGGGGTTACGTTCCAGACCCCCCCGCAATAAGTGAAAAATTACCAAGTAGGAATGCTATATTTATTTTAGTACTCATATATATTTTAAGGCTTTATAAACCCTTGCCACACTCTTGCAAAGTTCTAAGCTCTTAAACCTACATACCGTACTTTTTTGCTGTATAAGTCGCATCTTTTTGCATAAATTAGCATGCCTGCGACTCGTACGGCGAAGCGACTTATTTGTTTTTTCCCCATATTTATAACCCAATTTTTGGCAGAGATCTGACCATTTCATTCATTCTGACATGGAAAATATTGAACACTACCATTTTCAGCTGCTAGAGGGCACTCGAGGAATATGGCAAGCCAAGTGTCTCATTAATAGGTAAAAAGTGGCTATTAATGAGACACTTGGCTTGCCATAGAAGCCACCTTCGTCTTCGAACTCCTGGAGCAAACGTCAAATCAGCTGCATTTCAGCTGAGCAGCGAAATGCAGCTGGTTTGACCGTTAAAGTGCATTTATTAAGGAAAAGTTCAACTGTGAGACACACCTTTGCTATAATTTCGAGCAAACAAATACCGTATTTTTCGGCCTACATGTCACTTTTTTTTTTTTTGTGTGCATAATTTGCACGCCCTGCGACTTATAGGCCAAAGTGACATATTTATGGATTTTTTCCCATATTTATAAACCATTTTTTTGGCTGAGATATGACCTTTTTCATTCATTCTGACTGAAAAAAAAAATTGAACACTATCATTTTTCAACCACTAGATGGCAGCAGAGTAGTCAGGCATGCAGTTGTATCATGTAATAGGTAAAAGTGGCTATAATGACAAATTCAAAAAAGTTCAAGACAAAAACAACTGGACTTTATTTATTATACTTTATTATTTTTGTCTTGAACTTTTTTGAATTTACCATGTCCTGGATGACTGAGAATCTTCACCAGATATTAATGACACAATCAGCTTGCCAAAGTCTTCCACCTTCATTCTGCTCTCTGCTTGGAACCGTCAAATCAGCTGCGCCGCCCCGGCAAAATGCAGCTGATTTAACCATTAAAGTGCATTTATTAAGTAAATGTTAGTCTGAGACACACCTTTGCTTTTAAGTTGAGCAAACAAATAATTGTTTTTAAGTGTTAATCCTGTTAAATTCTTGTTAAAGACCTCCCGTGCACGCCCCAGCTGCCGCCATTTGGCAGCCAATCGATTTTTGGCACAACGCCGGCCCAGGTTTCCGGGTTGTCAGCGGTGATGTGTAATTGATGCGACGTATACGGCGAAGTGACGTATTTATGTTTTTTCCACTTTATCAGACATTTTTGGACTGATGCGACTTATATGGCGGTGCAACATGTACGGTGGAAAGTACAGGAACTTTAACAACATATACTGCACAGAACTGCAAAATTTTATGTGGCTACTTGGTCCGGTTCTGATGGGCTCTCTGCAGCCGTTGAGCTCCAGACGCTTTTAGAGAGAGCTGGACCTTCGGAGAACCAGCACAAAACCACACAATGGTCCAGATCGAGTCCAAATCCAGATGTAAAAAGTCCTGGTGAGCTCCGGAGAAAAACACCGGACCTCCCGCTCGAGAGGCCTCATGGGTCAGCAAGCAGCACTCAGATTGACCGATGAGGCTGGAGGTCCGGTTCTGGTCCATTTCCTGGTTGGTTCCGTACAGCTCTCTGCATCCACTGAGCACCGAAGTCACCATGAATCAGGACCGAACGTTTTTGGATCGGATCAAAACTTTCCCTTCATTTCATCAGAAAGCAACAGCTGCAAACACTGTTGGCTTCTGGGAAATGTAGTCCTTTTGAGTTGCGATAGTGTAGGCTTATTGAGAGAAAACTACAAAATGTTGGCGCCTGTCCGAAGTATTTTTTTCGTAAACTTTTTATCCCGTACTATCCCAATCACGTGAGTAATATTAAAGTTGACAATTATGTGTTGTGTACAATTTTACTTTGACAAACCGCGAAAGAGCAAGACCACAAAAGTCCAATTGCTCCTGTAAATCCATCTTCCATTCCAGGCCTTTAACTCATTCTAATATAAATTGGAATAGTAAGATTTTAGTCAGTTTGTAATTTTTTAAGACTTCTCAACACTACAGAGGTCAAGAAATATTCAGGCTTTGAGGATATCGAGTTATTTTCTTCATTTTTTCTTGGAAAAATTCAGGATTTCCGCTTCAACCTCAGAGGAACGGACAGTGTCTTTGGGTTAAATGAACAGAAGGCTTTTGTTCCTCAAGTATATTTTATGAATTTAACACAGTACAGATTAGACAGCTGCCTGTGTGTATCGGGTATGATGCACTGCAGAGGAGTTGAATGAATTTTTAAACGTTTGTTGATCAATTTTGTGATGCTTTGTTGATTTCTGCTTCTCACAGATTCCTTCCTTTTTTTAAAAATTTTCCTTTTGTATCAAATTTACGATCGTATATCGCTCCCGGATTTAAACTCGTGCTAGTTCTAATTGATCACAGAATTTTCAGAACGTGCGGATTTTGAATGGAGGCGTTCCTTTATTTTAATAAGAATTGATGTATTTTCTGATTTCCCTCTCGCATGCTGTGCTTTGTGCTCAGGAGTTCATGAGAGGAGGCGAGGCCCTCGAGGATTTGATCTTGGATCTACTGGAACACTCGGAACGGGAGGCTCTGATCCAGGCGGTGGAGAGCAGCGTCGGTTGTCCTCCATCAGAGTTGGGAAAGCCTTCAGACTGACAAATGCAATTTATGTTTATGCAAATGTCAAACTTCAAAAACGGAAGAACTAACTTAATTCTTATTTTTGTAATTCTATGTTATGTCAACTTTAATATTATTGGCAGTATCATCATCTTGCTGTGGGGGGTGTTAGTTCATTGGTGGGGACAGGGAAACCGGTCAGAGATAATGAAAAGTTAGATGTGCTAAATAAAGAGCGATTCTTAGGGAAAACGGTATTTGTAAATGTAAATAAAGAATCTTCTTCATACACCAAAGTTAGTCATGGAGTTCCTCAGGGTTCAGTGATTGGACCAATATTCTTTACCTTATATTTGCTTCCATTAGGTAAAGTTATTAAACAGCATGGGATAAATTTTCATTGTTATGCTGATGATACACAATTATATTTGTCCATGAAACCCAATGAATCCAATCAGTTACTTAGACTACAAGCATGTCTTAAAGACATAAAAACCTGGATGACTCTAAATTTTCTGCTTTTGAACACAGACAAGACTGAAGTTTTGGTTTTTGGACCTGAGAATCTTAGGAATGAATTTTTCAGTCTTTTGCCTCCTTGGATGGCATTAATCTGGCCTCCAGTTCTAATGTTAAAAATCTTGGTGTTATTTTTGATCAGGACATGTCTTTTCTGCCCCACATTAAAAACATTACTAGAACCGTCTTCTTCCACCTGTGCAATATCATTAAAATTAGAAACATCTAAAAATGATGCAGAAAAACTGGTTCATGCATTTGTCATGTCTAGACTGGACTATTGCAATGGTTTATTATCTGGGTGTCCAAATATTTGTCTTCAGTTGATCCAAAATGCTGCTGCCAGTCTTAACTGGCGTTAGTAGGAGAGATCATATCTCTCCAGTTTTAGCTTCTCTCCAATGGCTCCCTGTCAAATCCAGAATTGAATTAAAAATGTTTACTTCTATCCTACAAAGCCCTCAACAACCTAGTTCCATCTTATATTACAGATCTTATTGTTCCATATTTTCCTAACAGAGCACTTCGCTGTCAGACTGCAGGTTTACCTGTGGTTCCTAGAGTTTCCAAAAGCAGAATTGGAGGAAGATCTTTCAGTTATCAGGCTCCTCTCTTGTGGAACCAACTTCCAGTTTCTGTCCATGAGGCTGACACATTATCCAGTTTGAAGACTGGGATTAAGACTTACCTTTTTGGTAAATCCTATAATTAGGGTTGGCTTGTTGTTCTGCTATAGGTTCAGACTACTGGAGGACAAACTGACCTGAATAGGTTTCATTTGATATTATTTCTTTCTAAATGTGATTCTTGACCTGCCATTGTGTATCTATTCCTCCTTTCTGTTCCTCTCTAACCCAGCCGGTCAAAGCAGATGACCGCTTGTCCTTAGTCTGGTTCTGCTAAAGGTTTCTTACTCAGGGAGTTTTTCCTTTCCACTGTCGCCTTCATGCTTGCTCAAGAGGAGAGTCTACGATGAAATTAAACTCAATGCAGTCTGCTCCTCAGATAAATAGTGTTAAATTATTTCCAGTAAATAAATTTAATTGAGTCTTCTAGAGATTTGAGACAGGCTCCTAAACACGACGCTGAGGCTGGACTCTGGAGCAGTTTTGACACATGAGGTCCAACGGTTTCGGAGACAATCTCAGGTGGCCCAGAGGAAACTTGCTACAAAAGATTGTTCTAAAATACTCATAAATTTATTTTAAAAAGTAATTTTCTGAGATAAATTTGGACCAAAGGCATTTACGTCATACCAGAAAAAACATTTGAACTATTAAGTCCTTACATTAAAACGTAAATGTCTGAAAAAGTTGTGACTTTGTGCAAAATAAAGGTAAATAAAAACTGATCATTTATAGATTCCCTAAACTGGTATTTTATTCACAATGGAGCATAATATATATGAAATGTTGAAGCTAAAAATATTGTTTTTTTTTTTAAATAATATGGTAACTGAATTTTATTGCAGCAGCACATAAAAAAAAATTAAACAGGACAGGAGAAACAAAAGGTTGTAAAAGCAGGTAATACAAATAAAAACAGCTGGGGGCGCTTGTGACAATATAATGAGGACCGGTGTTCTTAAAGATAATTTTAGAGGCTGAATCTCAAAAGTAAAGATGGGCAGGGGGTCACCAGCCTGTTAAAAACTCCACAAATGCAGTTTAAAGCTCTATCATGCAAAGACGCCATATGTGAACACCATCCAGAAATGCAGACATCTTTGGGCCAAAGCTCGTTCAAAATGGAATGAGGCAAAGTGGAAAACTGTTCCGTGGTCAGACGGATCCAAATCTGAACTTATTTCTAGGAACCAGACGTCATGTACTCTACTGAAAAGACGGACCATCCTGCTTGTTATCACTCATGGGTCCGGCAGGATACGATCCACCTCTCTCCTAGCCGCTCTGGTCCACCAGGAATGCGCTGAGACCTACGCGGTTTATCTGCAACTTGGTTTGTTCTATCAGAACCCCACTCTCCAGCCCCTTTCCTGTCTCGGGCTCCGGCCTGTCATGGCGGCCGTCTCCATAATCCTCCATCTGCTTGCATGGACTGAACTCTAAGGAACAGGTCGGTTTGGAATTTTGAATGTTCTCTGTTTGACGGACTCAGTTCTGGAGGGCAGTCATCGTTCTTTGCCACAGTTGTTACTATCATCATGTTGTAACAGAACCACATTGCTAACGGCACCATGCTGCTAACAGGACCACACTGTCAGGAGGACCATGCTGCTAACAGGACCACACTTTTAGCAGAACCACACTGTTAGCAGTACGTCTACCATGCTGCAAAAAAGACCATGCTGCTAACAGGACCATGCTGCTAACAGGACCACAACGCTAACAGTACCATGCTGCTAACAGGACCACACCACTAACAGGTCCATGCTGTTAACAGGACCACACTGCTAAAAGTACCATACTGCAAACAGGACCACGCTGCTAAAAGAACTTCACTGCCAACAGTATCATGCTGCTAAAGGACCACACTGCTAACAGTACCATGCCGTTAACAGGACCACAGCGCTAACAGTACCATGCTGTTAACAGGACCACACTGCTAACAGTACCA